TAGCCCACATATTTCAAGAAAAATTATAAAATATGAAAATTTTGTTTTAATGTATAAAGGAATCATACACCGTAATAGTATGAAAATTAAATAGGTTCGAGATCTTAAATGTTTCCGTTTCTCCAGAAAATAGGATTTTTATAGGGGTTAATCCACATACTAAGTGGTATATGAATGTTAAGTAAATTAATCATTGAAAAATTAGAAATGATTCCAATGTACCATAAAGATAATTTTAGCAAACATATATAGAAATTTGGAGTGCGTTTAGGTATTTTTAAACAACACAAAAATGCTTAATAGTGTATATAGGATTTAACATAAAATCCAGCTTTTTCATAGGGGTTAGCCCACATATTTCATAAAAATTTATAAAAAATGAAAATTTTGTTTTAATTCATAGATGCATCATACACCGCCATAGTATGAATATTAAATAGATTCGAGACCTTAAATGTTTCCGCTTCTTCAGAAAATAGGATTTTTATTGGGGTTAATCCACATATTAAGATATATATGAATTTTAAATAAATTAATCACTGGAAAAATAAAAATGATGCACATGTACCATAAATATATGTTTAGGAAACATATATAAAATTTGGTGTGCGTTTAGTTTTTTGTTAACAACATCATGGTAAATAGTATATATAGTATTTAACGGAAAATCCAGTTTTTTCATAGGGGTTAGCCCACATATTTCAAGAAAAATTATAAAAAATGAAATTTTTGTTTTAATGTATAAAGGAATCATACACCGTCATAGTATGAAAGTTAAATAGGTTCAAGACCTTAAATGTTTTCGTTTCTTCAGCAAATAGGATTTTTACAGGTGTTAATCCACGTAATAAGTGGTATATGAATGTTAAGTAAATTAATCATTGGAAAATTACAAATGATTCCAATGTACCATAAAGATAATTTTAGCAAACATATATAAATATTTGGAGTGCGTTTAGGTATTTTTAAACAACACGAAAAATGCTTAATAGTTTATATAAGATTGAACATAAAATCCAGCTTTTTCATAGGGGTTATCCCACATATTTCATGAAAATTTATAAAAAATGAAATTTTTGTTTTAATTCATAGATGCATCATACACCGTCATAGTATGAATATTAAATATGTTTGTGACCTTAAATGTTTCCGCTTCTAAAAAAATAGGATTTTTATTGGGGTTAATCCACATATTAAGATATATATGAATGTTAAATAAATTAATCACTGGAAAATTAAAAATGATGCCCATGTACCATAAATATATGTTTAGGAAACATATATAAAATTTGGTGTGCATTTTTTTTTTTTTTAAACAACATCAAAGATGGTAAATAGTATATATAGTATTTAACGGAAAATCCAGCTTTTTCATAGGGGTTAGCCCACATATTTCAAGAAAAATTATAAAAAATGAAATTTTTGTTTTAATGTATAAAGGAATCATACACCGTCTTAGTATGAAAATTAAATAGGTTCGAGACCTTAAATGTTTCCGTTTCTTCAGAAAATAGGATTTTTATAGGGGTTAATCCACATATTTAGTGGTATATGAATGTTAAGTAAATTAATCATTGGAAAATTAGAAATAATTCCAATGTACCATAAAGATAAGTTTAGCAAACATATATAAAAACATGGAGTGCGTTTAGGTATTTTTAAACAACACGAAAAATGCTTAATAGTGTATATAGGATTTAACGTAAAACCCAGCTTTTTCATAAGGGTTAGTCCACATATTTCATGAAAAATTATAAAAAGTGAAATTTTTGTTTTAATGCATAGATGCATCATACACCGTCATAGTACGAAAATTAAATAGGTTCAAGACCTTAAATGTTTCCGTTTCTCCAGAAAATAGAATTTTTATAGGGGTTAATCCACATAATAAGTGGTATATGAATGTTAAGTAAATTAATCGTTGGAAAATTAGAAATGATTCCAATGTACCATAAAGATAATTTTAGCAAACATATTTAAAAATTTGGAGTGCGTTTAGGTATTTTTAAACAACACGAAAAATGCTTAATAATGTATATAGGATTTAACATAAAATCCAGTTTTTTCATAGGGGTTAGCCCACATATTTCATGAAATGTTATAAAAAATGAAATTTTTGTTTTAATTCTTAGATGCATCATACACCGTCATAGTATGAATATTAAATATGTTTGAGACCTTAAATGTTTCCGCTTCTCAAAAAATAGGATTTTTATTGGGGTTAATCCACATCTTAAGATATATATGAATGTTAAATAAATTAATCACTGGAAAAATAAAAATGATGCCCATGTACCATAAACATATGTTTAGGAAACATATATAAAATTTGGTGTGCGTTATTGTTTTTTTTAAACAACATCAAAGATGGTAAATAGTATATATAGTATTTAACGGAAAATCCAGCTTTTTCATAGGGGTTAGCCCACATATTTCAAGAAAAATTATAAAAAATGAAATTTTTGTTTTACTGTATAAAGGAATCATACACCGTCATAGTATGAAAATTAAATAGGTTCGAGACCTTAAATGTTTCCGTTTCTTCAGAAAATAGGATTTTTATAGGGGTTAATCCACATATTTAGTGGTATATGAATGTTAAGTAAATTAATCATTGGAAAATTAGAAATGATTCCAATGTACCATAAAGATAAGTTTAGCAAACATATATAAAAATTTGGAGTGCGTTTAGGTATTTTTAAACAACACGAAAAATGCTTAATAGTGTATATAGGATTTAACGTAAAACCCATCTTTTTCATAGGGGTTAGTCCACATATTTCATGAAAAATTATAAAAAGTGAAATTTTTGTTTTAACGCATAGATACATCATACACCGTCATAGTATGAAAATTAAATAGGTTCGACACCTTAAATGTTTCTATTTCTCCAGAAAATAGGATTTTTATAGTGGTTAATCCACATATTAAGTTGTATATAAATGTTAAGTAAATTAATCATTGGAAAATTAAAAATGATTCCAATGTACCATAAAGATAACTTTAGCAAACATATATAAAAATTTGGAGTGCGTTTAGATAAGTTATTCTTTCAAGGAAAAAGAACTGGATCTGCCTCGGGCACAATAATTATATATATCCTCTCTAGCTAAGTTCGCAGGCACATGACGAATTCGAAACGAACTACCTCTCGTAATGAGAGAAAAATTAATGATGAAAGCTTCTTCTTACTGCTTTCTCTTCATTGACCTTTCTTTTCTAGCTAAGCTTCTTCTTCAATATGAATCAGATCCTGCTCTGAGAGGTTAAGGGTTTAATTTTACCTTGATGGAAGAGTTGTCTATCGATGCAGTACGGGTAGCCTGAAACTGTATAGTGTATTTCCTTGTAAAATTCCTCCACGTAAAAGACAGTAGTGTCCTGTCCTGGGAGTTTTTAATCTCAAATCCAGATACAGGTTACAAACAAGTTACATATAACATCTGACCCTTACCATCATTCTCCAACCATCTCCTTAGGCTCATAGCCTTGAAGTCTTTGCGGTCTAGCTCGCCTCATGTCCTAAATGAAATTATCAGATCGAGCTTACCAAAACCAAAGCTTCTTTCTTCTTTCTCCTTTCTCTTCAATGTGAATCAGATCCTGCTCTCTGATGGGTTTATTTTTCCTTGAGGGAAGAGTTGTCTATGGATGCAGCAGGGGTTGCCTGAAACTGTATAGTGTATTTCCTTTGAAGCTCTCTTAGTTTCTCCATAACATCTTGGAACGTTGGTCTACACTGTGGTTCACTGCACAAAATATTTTACTTGTATTAGTCTAAATACAATACAACTGCCAAAGAACATTAGAACTTTATCAGCTAACTGTTTTGGCAATACAAGTTAAACTATTCAACCACTATCAAAACTAAAACATAACTTATAATTTTTTTTTGAATGTGGAGTGTTATTACGTACCTATGCCAGCAGCTTTCCATAAGAGAAATCTACTGAGGATCAACATCCTTTGGGACTTCGAGTCTTTGGTTCATAAACCCCACAGCTCCTGTCACCTGCAAGTATTCTAAATAGACACCTCTTTATATATGGTCTTGTACGTATAGCTTTAAGATACGACCAAACTATAGATTTTCTACTCAATTTTGGAACATTTTTTTAGATTTTTTTTCCTAAATGCGTAAGTTATACCTGCATAGCATTTAGATTTTCCCATGAAATCTTCTCAGTCACAAGCTCCCATAGTACTACTCCAAAACTGTAAACGTCGGACCTGAGTTTAATTAATAAGACAAAGCATTATTAGAGAAGAAAGGTTAGAAAACCAATAAGAAACATAACCAATCACCAAAATGAGAATATACTTTTCATCAGCAGCCTCATTTCGAAGAACCTCCGGTGCCATCCACTGAGGCTGCATGCATCATGACGAATAATTGACTTCATAGAAAAAAGAGGAATCATTATGTTGAATACCATTCTCCTTCCGGCCTTCGTAGTGAGTTATGTCTCATGCTTGATACGCGAGAGATCAAAGTCAGCAACCTATAGAAATGACACGTTAACTATGCAAACATAACCATATTAAGTTCAATACTAGTTTTTATTTCCGAAACAAGTTTGTAATGGTGAAGATAATCCATTGAGACCAATAAATTTTTTGTTAACCATCAGCAATTTTTAATAAATTTAAATTATCTGTTTTTGAATCTATTATTGTATCAATTTAATTAATGTTAAGTATATTAAAAATAAACCAATATTATAGTTTAGTGGAAGGAGAGATATAAGTATTTTAGTTGGACGTTATTTAATTAAGTACTAAAAGTTTTGGGGTGGGTTGGAAGCCGAAGGAGAAACTACAAGTCTCTTAATGGCATAGAGCTTTGGGACTGGTTCATGAGTCACATGGACATCTCTTGATAAGCTCATTCCACAAGGATAAAACCAGAGTTTTGACACTTTTTAGTCAAGTGGTGATTTATATATAACCATAATTTTCTTTATGAAAAGTAAAATATCATATTTATCAAAGCAACATACTACAAAGGAAAGTGCATCATTATTAAGAAGTTTTAAAGATAAACCATAGTAGTACTCTACCATAGCAAATTGCATCAACATAAAAGAGTGAAATAAACTTAGGCAAATGAGGAGTGACTGTTGCATCCCCATATGCTTATAGAAAGCATGCGGGTATCGGGAGACGCTTCAGTAAAGTACTTCTTGTAAAAGTAGATGACATCTGTCTCCACAATCTCTTTTAAACTCCTCCTAACTATCTTGTTGAAACGTGGGAAGAGTCTGTAAACCAACAGACATCATTAGGAAACTGTTGTGTTCCCATATCTAAATGATGCAAATTATTTTACTAACATAGATACTAGGCAAAAACTGAAAACAATTACCTTCTTTCACTAATCTGTTTCCACCCGAAACCATCAGGATAATCATCACGTAGAGCCTTTTTGTGGTTTTCAAAAACATGGGATTTCACACCATTCTACAACCCACAAAATAAAAAAATTAGTCTCACTAAAAACTACATATTAAGTAAGATATTTCTAATTAATAACTTACCAAAAAAGTTTCTAAACCCTCAACATACTCGCGGATCCGCACTAAGAGATACTCAGGATTATACATTGAGGAGACCACAGTGATACTGAAAAGGTTGATTCCATCCTTGAATTGAAGTTCACTACCAACTTCATATCCAAGATTATTCTTGACTCTATAGAAAGAGAGTTGATTAAATCTCAAAACATAAATTTATTCAATTTGGAAAACTTTGATAAGAGAATACAAAGTAAACCAAACACATACCTTAGCCAATGGATTGTGTTCTCTTCTATCAGAGAATAGAAGAGATGTAAGAGTGCTGTATTCTGTGCATCATTCCTTTCTATTCCAATTTGAAAGCAAACCTACACCCAAACAAATAAGATTAAGACAGAAACATATCATTGTAATATCTAAAGAAATAGAAATCTCAACATACCGTAGCAAGAGAGTTTTTGTCAGACTTTAGTGACTTAGTGGATACGGAAGCATGAGGGATAACATCAATTCTTAGATCACCTCGACAATTCTTTTCAAGAGGTACTATTTTGTCACTCTCAAAGAGTTCTGATATACTAAGAGCTTCGTCTTTTGGTATATCCCCACAGAAAACACCTTCAACAAACATCTGAGAAAAAAATCGATTAGATAAAATGAATAAATATAAACAATTGAAACCCAAAGAAGAAATTAATTACCTTTTTGCGTAAATCTGAGACGAAATAAACCATATCCTCAAACTTGAGCTGCTTAAGTACGTCCAACATCGCATCAAATGAATGGCAAGATGCGGATACCATTGCTTGCAACATAACTTTGGAATGGTCAGAAAGCTCAGCAACATTGTTTTTTAAAACAGCAACCACTACCTCTTTGTCAGTCTACAAAGAAATAAAACATAGTTAGAACATTAAATCAATTTAAGAAATGAATTGAAGTAGCTGATATGAGTTCATACCGTAAAACTATCACGGGATGGAGAAAAACATGTAAGAACATTCCAAATCTTTGATATGTAGAGACTGAATCTTTCTTTAAAACCCCTTGTTCTGATCTCTATTTTGTTTTTATCAGAAAGTGTTACTGAGGTAGAGAAATTGGCCCGCATTCCCTGCATGTATAAAATTAAATTTCCCATCTAATATGTTTCATATAAAGAGACCAAAAAAATGAAACACTTACTTCAGATAAGATAAGGGCCAGCGAATCATTAAGAAGATGTAGATAAAATACGCCCAAAACTTGGCTCTTCAAGTCATCTCCAATGTTGCAATAGACAGCAAAATTGAAAGTAGGAACACCTTCATCGCGTGAATGCCACAACTTTATGGAATTCTTGTCCACAAAAAGAAATGACTCAGCCTCTTTATCATATTCTTCATCAGACTCATCATTATAATCACTCTCATCTGACTCATCAGAGTCATCAGAGTCATCACTCCCATCAATCTCTTCCCCATCATCAGAATGTAATACTGCCGTGGGTAAAACCAAAGGTTGCGGGACTGCCGTGGGTAAAAACAAAGGAGGCGGTACTGCCGTGGGTAAAAACTGGTTCTTACGAGGGAATTTGAAACACACATCTCCATAGCAAGGGTTTAGCCATTTGACTATCCAGTGACGTGGGATTTCCAATTCTTTATAGAACGTGTTAAATTTAGGTTCAAGCAGATCTGCAAAGAAAAAATAACATATGGTGTGAAGGTGAGTTCATACCAAAAAAACTATCAGACTAAGGAGAAAAACATGTAAGAATATTCCAAATCATTGATATGTAATGTTTTGATCTCAAAATAAAAGAAGAACATAAGTCAGATACCTTTTCCACTAAAATACTTTGAAGCCAAGTCTAGTCTCATATTTCCTGGAATAAAATGTTTCAGCAGTTCATTAATTGAATCTCTGGTGCAACTTTCATTAAGAAAATCAGCACAAACAGCATCTTCAAGCGGAATATGAAGCATATTGACTGCACAGAAAGAAAATGCTATTAGAAAAGTCGGTCATAGTAAAGTAATGACATTATTTGAAAATACACACACCTGCAACTTGTTTGGTTAAAGCACAAGGATCAGAACCAAGGTCATAAGTATCAAAGCATTGAAACTTAATCTTCTTGATCGAGAAGAACTCTTTCATAATCTCAGGGGCTTCTTTGTCTCTCAAAAATTGGAGATACTGATAAACATAACCGACAATATGAAAGACCTGCCAACATATATTTTAGGTATGATATATAGAGATAATCATGATTTTAATTAATAATGATCAATAGGAAAAAAAAACATACATTAAAATAACCAAGGTTAGTGAGCACAAGAGAAAGTGAAAACAAATGTCCCACTGAGGTACATGCATAAGTCCCTTTACATTCATCAGATTTATAATCACCAGAAGATGCTTTCAGAGACATCAACCAGCCTTTCTTTTTGAAGATAGAGTATAAAGACCCTTCACCCTCTGAAATACATAGTAAAGAGTTAATAACCATACAACAAAATAATTTAAAAAAAAAGAAAGAAAGACACTTACTATGACTAAATGCTATGACGAGAAACTGTTCAGAACTCTTCATGTATGATTTTGGAGGAATTATCCAAGTAATATCAAAGAGATGAATATCTTCAACTGATTTCGAAAGAAACAGAGTGTCCACCTTCCAAATAGGACCTGGTGTAGGATTGTAATTAGAGATGAATTCTGTCCCTTTTTTAATACGACCAAAATAATCAATCACCCATCCTTTAAGAACACCCACAGGTTCTGCATTGTAAACAACATATATAAGTTAATAAGTACGATAACCTGAAAAAATATACAAAACAATAAGATTTACCTTTTCCAAGAACAACAAGGCACATAGAAGAACCAACAAAGTGTTTATTGAAAAGATTCCAAAGAAGTTCGATGAGTTCAACTTTTTTAACCTTGGAAAGGGACTCTCTGTTGCCTAAATGATAAAAGAAATAAGCAAAGTGGTTAAGATCATAATGTAAATATAGAAGGAGAAAGAAATAAAAAGATGTATTTACCCCAAGTAAATCTTTTAAAGGGATGTCCTGCTGAAGCAGTATGACCTTTAAGCTGATCAAGCATACTCATATCATTTTGACGGTCTAATTCAAACTCTGCATTTTTTAAAATCAAAACATTAGAATATTCTCGATATTGTTGACCCAGATTACATAAATAAAACACACCGTGTTCAATAGCTGTGATCTCGGCTTCCAAACAGTCTTCTTGAAATAGAGGTGATATGAATTGCTCACAGAACCTGAATAATAGTATGATCAGCATATCAGATGACTAATACAACAAGCAAGGTAATAAAATTAGATACCTTTCAAGAGCACCCTGAAAGCCAGCATTCATAACATTGAAGTGGAACATCGTGAAGTCCATCTCTGTAAAAGCGTTCGACACTCCATTATACTGACTTAGAAAATCATCCAACTAGAAAAAATAAATACTGTGTGAGAACTGTTGTTATATATGTGTTTTAAACAATTATTTTAATTAAGAAATATAACGAATACCTCGTTTGGGTGAGGATAAGCCTTACATCCTGTGAAGAGCATGTGCTCTAAAAGATGAGCTAAACCTTCAGCATTTGAGGGATCGCTAGAACTCCCAACTCGAACCGTCATAGCTGCAGCAGATTCCGTTGTTTTTGGGTCACTTATCAAGATCACCTTCAATCCATTGTATAAGACGAGGGATTTGTAATCTTTTTTGCTCCCAGGAGGACTATTAATTAGTTGAACTTCCATGATCTACGATAATCAGAACACACACAGGAAAAAATCTAGGTGAAAATGAAACGATTTAAATACACACTCTGAAATGATGGAAGAATAAATTAAGAGTAAACATTACTAATTAGGTCTGACGCGTAACGTGTTAACGAGAATAACACATATTAAGTAACAATGATACTTACCGCGTCAATTGAGGTCAAGAAATATGAGTAGATTTTACCAAAAAAGGAACTACGAGTTGAGAAAGAGTAAGGGAGATGAAACGTCACAATTAACTCTACTTGTTAACACGTGAACACTTTACACCTGGCTCATATTATTAAACACGAATATATACAGCAATAAATATAACTAGTGTTCTTGCATCAGTTTGATTATACCAAACTTTTTTTTTTTTGAACAAACTTTTCTTAAATTAGAAGCTCAAACGGAGTTAAGATTATACCAAACAATAAGTCAAAAAATATGAATCGAAGGTATTATCGAAATAATAATTTATATTTCCCACCCAATCAGATAAAATATTCGTCTACAAACATAGAGCATCAAAAGAAAAGACGATTTAATCTAAACAACCCTAAACATTTGAATTTGAATTTAATTTATATATTTCAACTAACAAAAGATACAAAATATGGATCAAATGTTAAACTACGTACATAGATTCAAAATTCATATATCTATTCAATAGATAATTAGGTAAATCTTAAAAACAAAAACAAACAAAGTGCCAGAATGAAGCATAAAACAGAAACTTTGTTGACCAAAATATATTATTGTAAACTTCCAAAATTATTTACCAGAAAAAGAACTACGAGTTGAGAAAGAGTAAGGGAGACGAAATGTCACAATTATCTCTACTTGTGAAAACGTGAACATTTTAACTCTGCAAAATCATTAAAAGGGCTCACATCTGAATCGTTAGGTGAAGAGAAATTTAACACACAAGTTATCGGAATATATAAACAGTTACCAAAAAGTTACCGAAATGACTGTCAATTACTACTTACCGTTATTACCATACCTTCCTTTTGACAAACGATCCACGTAACACTACAAAAATTTGATATTTTGGAGTATAGGCATAACCCAGACCAAACTGAAATCGAAATTTGGATTTGATTATATCCGAATACGTTACTAATTTTATTTATATTAAAATAATTTAAATGTTTTAGAGTATTATAGGTTATTTTATTTGTTATTTTTAACAATAGTTAATTAATTTAGATAGTTTTACTTGTTTTAGTTATATTTGTCAATAATTTATATATTTTAAATAAATTTTTAGTTTAAAAAATATATTTGGATGATTTTATATATTGATTTTAATCTGATCTGAAAGTCAAAAGTATTCGAAATATGACCTGGTAGTTAATGAAATCTGAATGAAACTTATAAATATAATATCGAAATCCAAAAATTCCAATCAACAAACCGAATATCAACATCCATGCCTACTCGTGACCATGGCTGCTGCTGCCAGTGACATGGAGAAACGTATAACTAAATTATCAATGTTTTAAGATATTCATTTTTTTTTTAAGTGAAAGTGTTGATTCTTTAAGATATTCATTATTTTATCTAAGCAAAATCTTACAGTTCTACATGCAAATACCAAATCATCTCTTCTTAAATCGAAAATATTATAAATACTTTTATGGTCTTAGAAGCATGATTTGCATTTTCTTTTCGTAAGTCAAAAATAGCATCAGACATTTTAATTTATTGGAGAAACTTGAGTTCAATAACAATTCATTATCTAATCAAAACTCCTTTTTCTCTCTTCCTTTCACTTCCTACAACTATCAATGATCAAGAAAATTACTCACAATGTCCCATGCCATATGGTTACTAGCGTCCATTCCAATTTTAATGTTTTAAACTCTGCAGCAAACGGAATATATAGACTTCCACAGCACAATATTTTTTTAATAGATTGAATCAGCAGTTCAAAAAGAAAGAAAAAAAAACATAAAAGGAAGTGTAGTATTTAGCGAAAGAGATGAAACCGAACAGTGGAAGGAACTCTGTCACCATACAGAGACGCTGAGGAGATGTCACAGCTCCCTGGGAAACCGATTCGGACTAAGCCCTGTTCTGTTACACAACCTTTGACAAAGGTTAATTTGCTTTATATACATATATTTACGTACGGTAATAGTAGAATTTACCCTCTATATTGATTTAATTCTCAATTTTACAGTTAATGGATAGTCTTACCACCAAGCCTAAGTCGCCATCATCAAGGTACATACCATCAAGTTCAGAAGGATAAGAAGCTTATCAACCACAAAGCCTAATCCCACTCATAAGGTCCTTTTCCAATGTTTTGCAACTTAAAAAAACTTGCGATGCTTTATCATGACCTGAAATAAAATAAAACTGATGTTATGTGTGATTTTGAGAAATCTTTTGTCATGATTATTATGTACTTGGGATGTCCAGAACACTCGGTTTCTTTTTTTTTGGTTATTTACAATCGGTTCAACAGGTTTCTGCTAATTATACCAGCGGGATGACCATAACACTCGTTTTCATTGACAACAATAACAAGCACAACAATAACCAAGTCATGATCCAATAAAATGTAACAAAATTTTACTTCCAAATCTTTTGTATCTTTCAAGGAAAAAGAAATGGATCTGCCTCGGGCACAATAATTATATATATCCTATCTTGCTCAGCTCGCAAGCACATGACATATTCGAAACGAATTATCTCTGGTAATGAGAGAGATATTATCAATCGAGCTTACTTGTATTAGTCTAAATACAATACAAGCGTGAAAGAACATTAGAACCTCTATCATTCAACCACTATCAAAACCAAAACATAACTTACAATTTTTTTTGAATGTGGAGTGTTATTACGTACCTATGCCACTGCCAGCAGCTTTCCATAAGAGAAATTCATAACTTATAAAGCTTAGGGGGGGGGGAGAGGGTTATTGGTAGAAAATTTTTGGAGGAATTGACAAATTTTAAGATTCCATAACTATTGGTTNATCATTCAACCACTATCAAAACCAAAACATAACTTACAATTTTTTTTGAATGTGGAGTGTTATTACGTACCTATGCCACTGCCAGCAGCTTTCCATAAGAGAAATTCATAACTTATAAAGCTTAGGGGGGGGGGAGAGGGTTATTGGTAGAAAATTTTTGGAGGAATTGACAAATTTTAAGATTCCATAACTATTGGTTTATGAATTTTAAAATAAAATTTGTTAATATTGGAAAGAGGATTTTTTTAATTCTATTTAAAATCCTTGTTATTGGAAAAATTTGGTTATCATTAACTTTAGCATTCTATTAAAGTCTATTGTTATTAGGATGTAACTGTTTTTTATTTAAGACTAAAATTTTTGAATATCATATATATACATAGAATTTTTGACATCTATGTAATAACACACACACACATACAAAACAGATAAGATTGAATAATGCAATAATAGAATATTACCAACCACAACCTTAACATGATCTAGAAACACAACTTCAATTCTTTTCTATAATCTTACATGTACGACTCTTTAAACAACAAAACTAAAAACTGATATAACATAAAATATTAAACAACCATTAATAGCATAATATACATTTGTTAATAATTAAAAAAAGCTACAAAACTATATGAGATGTGTAAGAAAAAAAATCATTTTTATTATCATTAACACGTGTTTATAAAAGTTTTGAAACTTAGAAATCTGGGTTTCTTTTTTACAATAATTTTTCTGAAAACACAAAAAAAATTTGAAAATTTATCTTTCCCTTTTTCTTACAATCATTAATTTCTTACTTAAAATCTAGGTGTTTTGTTCGCACATGCGAACATATTTTTTTATATACTTTTTGATATATATACTATTAATTTAAAGATTAAATTAAATAAAACATTAAATATGTATTATTTTATGAGTTTTTCAATTTCTTAATCTTTTATTTTTTATTGATTTAACATCATTACTTTTAGATAACAACATTAATATTTTTTAAATATGTTATTATCTTCAATCAATTTTTTATTATATTCATTTATAAAAAATTATATAATTAAATAAACAAATGTATAATTGTTCATATAAAGTGATGTCTAAGTCTTTTCATCAACGATACCTTCAAAGTAATACATGTAAAGCATAATTACTTCAAATTCATAATAAAACAAGTACAGCATATCAGTTTCTTTTACCAAACACGCTTATAAAAGTGACAGAAAACATAATACCTCTTGTCTAAAAGATGTTATGATCTCTTCTGAATATTCTTGTTTGGAGAACACCTTTACATCAACATCCTGCAGTGACATTTTCAATTCTTAGTAAGATACAAGTTGTTCATGATTGGCTTGTAAAAAATCTACAATGCAGATTCTACATCATCAACAGAAGGCAAGAACGTACAGATCCAAACCATAGACCGTGATAGACAGTTCCACGTGAACCTGTACACAGAAAGAGGGAAAATTATGAGAGAGTGTAACGGAACAGAGACTAGAAAACCACATAACCTGTATAATTCTTGAACATCACCTTATCCAATTTGTTCTCCAATTGTCAAATCTTCCCATAAGATTTCATAGTCCAAGCAGTCACTATCCATATCAACCTTGTTCATAACACTTCTGCTAGTACTTCCACAGCTGCTAGCACTGCTTGTGCTGTTCACATTAACAGAGGAAGACCAAGACCCGCCCACAGCCTCATTATTGGCAGCCTTATTACTCTGATGAGCTTGTTTCCAAGGCTAGATTTTATTATATATTTAATGTGATTCTTTAATTTATTTTAATATAAAATTAAACAAAAAAAAGAGAGGACCTAAAAATGTGTATTTTTCATAGTCATTAATTGTATATATATGTTAATCATATTAGATAATCTCGTAGCTTTTATTTAAGAAAAGAAAATATATTGTTTTGTACACTACTAATTATTTTAATAGTTAGTTTAATAAAAAGTATAGTATATATTTATATGGACTAACTAATTTTTCTAAGGATTCTAAGAATGATTATGGTGATGACACGTGTCTACAAAAACATGTTGTAATGCTCCAAGATTATTATATAGGAGATTTCTTTTAATAAAAAACCTTGGAGCTCAAATCGTCATTGTTGAATCGTTATGGCCGGAGCTCCCTTCATATTCTCTGGGAAAGTCACACGAATCACATTATTATTACTTGATCTCTCACATTTTGTTAAGGTAAAATGTGAAATGAAGAAGAAGAAAAATGTAGGTACTTGTAATCCTGCTTGGTCTCCGCTTCATCCCATCCCGCAAAAGGCTCAGTCCCGCAACAATCCGTTCCGCAAGGCTCGTAAATTTATGGGCCTAAAAAAACTCGAGCCGATCCCATCCCATGACAAACCTTTACGGGTCAGGCCCGTGGTCCAGGTCTATGATTGCATATGTACAAGTAGGGATAAGGAGTCAACATACACGCAGTTTTAACACAATGTTGAACAAAGAATTTATTTGAAGGAAAAAGATAAATAAAGAAAAGAGTTCCAAAAGATTAGCTCTTCTCTCACTGATAAAAATAAATGGGCCGGATGAGGACTTGAAGATCAAAAACATTGCTTTAGGCCCAAGTTACTAATATATATATATATAGACGTAGCTAGGGCTTAAAAAAAAAAAGATATGGCGAAACGAAGACGGCGTCCCTGTCGACCCTGCCATCCACGCAGGCCTAAATATAAGAAACCTCGGCGCTCTATTCATTCTCAACCTTTTACGGTGGTTAATTTGCATTTTATATCTTTAAAATAATAGTAGTAAATACCCTCTTTATTGATTTAATTCTCAAATTTACAGGAAAAGTCTGCGGCAAGGTTTGCTGCGGCAAGGCTTGCTGCTATTACCACCATGCCTGAGTCTCCATCATCAAGGTATTGTCTCTCTCGAATGTGTGTGTATATAATATGAAGTAGCTATTGGGATGGTTAATTGTTTGGTTGCTCATATATGCTTGGGATGTTTTGTTTTGGGTTTGACGACAGCATAACTAAGCAAGAAGAAGTGGAAGAAGCTCGCCATGATCAACCACAAACCCTAATCCCACTCATTAAGTCCTTTTCCAATGTTATGTAACTTATTGCGATGCATTATCTCATGACTTGAAATAAATTAAAACTTATGTTATGTTTGATTTGAGAAATCTTTTGTCATGATTATTATGTATGTATTTGGGATGTCCAGAAGTTTCTTTTGTTATATATACAATCGTCTCGCTATTAGCAATCTTAGTTTTGCGATAATAAATATATATTGCCAACAAACTTGAATTGAATTGCTAAACTGCTTTTAGTGAAGTATTTCACATGGAAAACAATTTTCTAAAATTCCTCCAAAGTAAGACACTGTCCTGTCTGCGGTTTTATCTCAAATCCAGACTGAAATGAAAGCTTAACGCACTTGGTACTAAACCAAAACTCTCACAGATAGCTTTAAGATATGACCAAATGTATGGATCTTCTAGTCTCACTGTCATTTCGGAAACAGTGCGTTAGACCTTTTTCTTCATAAATGGGGAAGTTATACCTGCATAGCATTTAAATTTTCCCACGGAATCACAAGCTCCCATAGTACTAATCCAAAGCTGTAAACGTCAGACCTGAGTTTAAAAGCATCGTTAGAGAAACTAATGAGCAAAAGAAGTTAACCAATCACAAAATGGGAATATACTTTTCGAAGAACCTCTGGTGCCATCCATTGAGGCTGCAAAACAGGTTAAAAAATGAGATGAATTGACTTCGCAAGAAAAAAGAGGAATCAGTTCGATAAGAGGTCTATGTTGAATACCGTTCCTCTTCCTGTCTTCGTAGTAAGGTATGTTTCAAGCTTGATACGGGAAAGACCATAGTCAGCAACCTATTAGATATGACACGGTATGGTATGTTAACGATGAAAACAGAGCCATAGTAATATTATTTTCTACTTGTGCAATTAAAAATCATAGTCACTCTTGACATTTTTTTGGCTTTATGTTTTCTCATTCAACTTCTCAGTTCCGACACAATGGAATTGCTTTAGACCAAATAACATTATTTTTGTACCTAAGCTAATAATCTCAAACCGTGTCATAAGTAAAATGAAACAACTCAAAATTCCATTAGAGACATGCATGTCCTGTCAATTGTCATTCACTGACAGCATTTGTACGTAATCTCCATCAGATGTTACCAACGACATGATGACGGATATTTATTACTTGCAAGGACTCAGGATTAAGGGAACTATATGGATTGAAGTGCAGGTGTGAATCTCTTTTAAACAAGATTATGCAGGTGTGTGTGAATCCTTACATTAAAAAATCTGTTTTTTTTTTTGTTAAAACAAAAGTATGATAGAAAATCAATAAACAAAAGCATTTTATACGAACCTTATGTACTTAATACAGCACTGTAGCTGGTGAAATAAGTGTTCGGTTAATCTCAGGTGTATATATAATCATCTCGTCCAGAGAAAGAAACGACGTTGATGATTAAGAAGAATAAGACGAGAGAGAGCCAAGCTTATGTATAAGCATGCCACTTAACAAAGCAAGTGTAACATCACGAAGAAGTCAAATAACAGGCAGTCTGCCACAACAAAATGCATCAACATGAACAGTAGAAGTCAATTAACAAAGCAGAGCCCAACATCATAAAGAAGTCAACATAGAACAAGCGCCTGGTGCACCCATCCCCAACAACACAAATGCATAAACAGAAGTCAAATTACTAGGCAGTTTATTTATCAAAGCAAAGCCCAAAATCACTAAGCAAAGCGACTGTTGCACCCCCATATCCTTATGGAAAGGGTACGGGTCTCAGGAGAAGTTTCGATAAGGTACTTCTTGTAGAACTTCAGGACATCCTCCTTCTCAATCTCTTTCAGATTCCTCCTAACTCTCTTGTTGAAATCAGGGAACATCCTGTAAACCAACAATCCATGCATTATTGTCACAAACTTCAAGTAAACTTCAAACACCAAAAACTACTACCTTTTTTCACTAATCTGAGCCCACAAATCATCTCCGTCATCATCAGGAAAATTCCCACGTACCGCTTTTTTGTGGTTTTTAAACACACTCGTTTTTACAGATTTCTACATATCACAAAGTAAGACAATTAATAAATAAATATATAACAAGTTACATATTTCAAACTAAAACTTACTAAGAATTCTTGCAAGCCCTTAACATATTCTCGGATTTTCTCTTCTAGAAATTCTGGGTTGTGCACTGAAGAGATGACACTTATAGTCAAAATCAGGATTCCATCCTTCATATCAAGTTCACTCGAAACTTCATATCCGAGATTGTTCTAGACTCTTGAGAAAGAAAGTTAATTAGAACTCAATAAAAATTACTTATTTTATTTGTTAAGTGAAAAAGAAAGCTGACCAAGCACATACTTTAGCCAGTAGACTATGTTCTCCTCTATCAATGAATAAAAGAGATGTAGGAGTGCTGTATCTCTAGCATTACCACGTTTTGTTCCAAACTGGAAACAGACCTATATCCAAACAAGAAACATATTATTGTAATGTAATATCAAAGAAATAATAGAAGTCTGAAACTATACCGTAGCAAGAGAGTTGATATCTGTCTTTATTTTGACAAAGTCATCAATATAATGATTAGAAGGTTCACAAGGACGAGGGACATCTTCTCTTAGATCATCTCGAAAATCTTCTTGAAGAGGAGTTATTTCTTGACTCTTAAAGAGTTCAGATATTGTTAGAGCTTCTTCTTTTGACATATTCCCAGAAAAAACACCTTGGATAAACATCTGGAAAATAAATTTTGATTAGATAAACTGAGTTACTGTTATCAGTTAAAACACAAAGAGGCAAAATTGTTTGACCTGAGACCGCAAATCTGAGACGAACTGCTTAACATCCTCAAAGTTAAGCAGCTTAAGGGCACCCAACATCTTTTCAACTGAATGACAGGATCTGGAGACCATTCCTTGAAACAGAGCTTTGGAATGGCCAAGCAGCTCAATAACGTTGTCTTTCAAAACAATAGCAACTACCTCTTTGTCAGTCTACGAAGAGATAAACATCAAAATAAACATTGTTAAAAAATTAGATTAGTGTCAGAAATGAATTTGCAAAAAGACATTCATAGATGAGATCATACCTCAAAACTATGAGGGGATGGAGAACAAGATTTAAGAACATTCCAAATGTCTGAGATGTAGAGATGGAAACTGTCTTTGAAACCGCTAGTCTTGATCTCTATCTTGTTTGTATCTAAAAAATTTATCGTGGTAGACAAATTAGCTCTCTTTCCCTGCACATTTAAAATTAAGTTTCTTAACCAATACATTTCATATAAAGAAAAGAGAAAACAAATTGAAACTTACTTCAGATAAGATAGATTCAAGCGAATCTTTCAGAAGCTGTAAAAAGATTTGGGCCAAAATCTGACTCTTTAAATCATCTTCAATCTTGAAACCGACAGAAAAAACGAACGTTGGAACACTGTCCTCAAGTGTATGCCACAGCTTAATGGAACGCTCATCCACAAGAAGACATGACTCAACTTCTTCATCAGCATCATCCATGACATCATCATCAGCAGCCTCCTCCTCATCATCAGCCTCCTCATCATCATCAGCCTCCTCATCCCCCTCATCATCAGCCTCCTCATCATCAACCTCCTCATCATGATCAGCACCATCCATGAATTCATCATCATCATCAGCCTCCTCATCCCCCTCATCATCATCAGCCCCCTCATCATCATCAGAAGGAGGTATTGTGGGCAAAAAACGGTTAGGAGGTGGGAACTGGAAATAATCTTCAGTGCTTGGGTTCAGCCATTTTTCAATAACATCTGATGGGATTTGAACTTCTTTATAGAAAGTTTGGAATCTAGGTTCAAGCAGATCTGCAAAAAAAATGTCTAGATTAGTTAATACCATAAAACTATGAATCGTATGTAGAAAAAAAAATGTATGAATTGCAAAATTATTAACATGTTGAGATGGAATCTTCTTTTAGAAAAAGCTTGTTTCGATCTGAAAAGTAATAAAAAAAAAAACATAAACATACCTTGTCCTTCATCAGACATTGATACGAAATCTAATCTCATGTTTCTTGGATCAAAACATTTTAGCAGCTCGTCAATTGATTCCCTAGTGCAGCTCTGATTGATAAAATCAGAACAGACAGCATCTTTGAGGGGAATATAAAGCATATTAACTGCAAAAAAGAAAACGATGTTAGCACAGTTGATTATAGTAAAAGTAGAGAACTTATGAGAAGTTGCAATTTACCTGCAAGTTTTTTGGTTAGAGCAGAAGCATCTGCACCTAGGTCATAGGTATCAAATAAACAAAATTTCATGTTCTTGATCTTGAAGAATTCTTCCATAATCCAAGAAGGTGCATTGTTTTGTCTCACAAATTGGAGATATTCATAAACATGACCGACAATATCAAACACCTGTCAATTTATTGAAAATATTAAAAGACAAATAGTGTTTTTAATTATTAATTAATAATGATATAAGAAAACATACCTTAGAACTACCAAGTTTGGTAAGCTCGAGAGAGAGCGAAAACAGACGACCCACGGAGGTACATGCGTACGTACCTTCAGGTTCCTTATCGTCATCTTCATCATCGACTTTATAGTCACCAGAAGATACATGTAGAGTAACCAACCAGAGTTTCGATCTCAACATAGAGTACAGAGATCCTTCCCCTTCTGAAGAAACATAATAGAGAGTTACAAACCAAACAACAAACAGTTAAAAAGACAGTTAAAAAGACAGACTTACTATGACCAAGTGCGATGACAAGAAACTGTTCAGGGATGTTCCCATATTCTATCGAAGGAATGGTCCAAGAAACTTCAAGCAGGTGATTGTCTTCAACTGATTTGGACAAAAACAGTGTGTGCTCCTTCCAAATAGGAGTAGATATGTGAATAGAGCTGAGTTCTGGCACTTGCACTTGTCTTTTAATAGGACCAAAATAAGATATCACCCAACTTTTTAAGACATCAAGAGGTTCTGCATTGAAAGAACATATAAACTGATAAATACTTGACCCTAAATAAAATAGGGAAGGAAAAATATAGAAAAAAAAAAGTGAGAATTACTTTTTCCGAGAATAACAAGGTTCATAGAAGAACCAACAAAGGATTCATCGAAAAGTTTTCTAAGAAGCTTAATGAGTTTCTTCTTCTTGACCTCGGAAAGTGACTCTCGATTACCTAAAGGGTTCAAAGAAGATAAGCCAAGCGGTCAACATCATATAAATAAAAAATAAAATTAAAAAGGAGAAAAGAGTAAGGATCTACCCCAAGTAAATCTGTTGAAAGGATGATCTGCTGGGGCAGTATGACCTCTAAGCTGATCAATCCTATTTTTGTCAGTTTGACGAACAGCTTCAAATTCTGCATTTTTTTCAAACCAATACATTTAAATATACTCAAAAATAATGATGCAAGATTATATAAATGGTATTTACCATAGTCAATAGCTGAAATCTCGCTTTCCAAACACTCTCGGTTAAACAGAGGCGATATGAACATGTCAGAAAACCTGACAAGTAGTTTGATCAGCATTTTTAAATGGAAAAAAAAAATTGCAACAAGCAAAGGAAGAAAAATGAGACAAAAACCTTTTAAGACCACCGTTAAGGCCAACATTGCTAACGTTAAAGTGAAACACCATAAAATCAAACTCTGTAAATGCGTTGGCCTCTCCACCATACTGACTTAGATAGTCCCGCAACTGTAGGAAAATTAAACTGTTGTTATAAGCAATTATGTAGTTAACAAACGAATCAAGTAAGTACCTACCTCGTTTGTGTCACGGTAAGAGGTGGTTCCCTTGAAGACCATGTGCTCTAGGAGATGAGCTAACCCTTGAGCATCTGGAGGATCAAAGGAGCTCCCAACTCGAACCATCATTGCTGCTGCAGATTCCGTCGCATCTGGGTCATTTATCAAGATTGCCTTCAGTCCATTGTCTAAGACGAGGCCTTTGTAAAACTTTTGGCTTCCATGAGGAGAGTTTAGTGCACACTCCATGATCTAAGATAATCAAAACACACAAAGGAAAAGTCTAGGTGAAAATAATACACACTCTGAAATAATGGAAGAAAAAAATTAATCCTGAGCTTTACTATTTATTTCTGACGCGTAACGTGTTAACGAGAATAACACAAATTAAGTAACAATGATACTTACCAATCCAGGATAACCGCATCAATTGAGGTCAAGAAATATGAGTAGATTTTACCAAAAAAGGAATTACTAGTTGAGAAAGAGTAAGGGAGACGAAACGTCACAATTAACTCTACTTGTGAACACGTGAACATTTTAACCTTCCAAAATCACTAAAAAGTCTCACATCTGGCTCACATTATTAAACACGAATATATACAGCATTAAATATAACTATTGTTCTTGTATCAGTTTGATGATACCAAACTATAAGTCAAAAAATATGAATCGAAGATATCATCGAAATCATAATTTATATTTCCCACCCAATCAGATAAAATATTCGTATACAAACATACAGCATCAAATGAAAAGATGATTCAATCTAAACAACCCTAAACATTTGAATTTCAATTTAATTTATATATTTCAACTAACAAAAGCTACAAAATATGCATCAAATGTTAAACTACATAGATTCAAAATTCATATATCTATTCAATAGATGATTAGGTAAATCTTAAAAACAAAAACAAACAAAGTGCCAGAATGAAGCATAAAACAGAAACTTTGTTGACCAAAATACATCATTGTCAACTTCCAAAATTATTTTACCAAATAAAGAACTACGAGTTGAGAAAGAGTAAGGGAGACGATATGTCACAATTATCTCTAATTGTGAACACGTGAACATTTTAACTTTGCCAAATCACTAAAAGGGCTCACATCTGAATCGTTAGGTGAAGAGAGATGAACACACAAGTTAGAGCACCCACATTGATGAACCTCCCTTGGGGGTTCATAGAAATAAAAAAATAATTTTTTTTTTTGTTATTTCCGTTTACTTTTTTTAAAAAAAAAAAAAAAAATTAATTTTGGACCAATCATATGTTGACACGTGGTGAACCCGGAGTCATCGGGGTTCACCGCGGTGAACTTTTGAGAGAGGAGTTCATAGAAATCTGATTTTAATATTATTTTTTTTTCTCGGTTTCCGTGTGAACTCCCCCCATCAACCCTTGATGGGGGTGCTCTTATCGGAATATATAAACAGTTACCAAAAAGTTACCGAAATGACTGTCAATTACTACTTTCCGTTATTACCATACCTTCCTTTTGACAAACGGTCCACGTAACACTATAAAAATTTGATATTTTGGAGTATAGGCATAATCCAGACCAAATCGAAATCGAAATTTCGATTTGATTATATCCGAATATGTTACTAGTTTTATTTATATTAAAATAATTTAAATGTTTTACAGAATTATAGGTTTTTTTATTTGTTATTTTTAACTATATCTAATTATTTAGATAGTTTAATTTGTTTTAGTTATATTTGTCAATAATTTATATATTTTTAATAAATTTTTAATTAAAAAAAAATTGGATGATTTTATATATTGATTTTAATCTGATCCGAAAGTCAAAAGTATTCGAAATAACCTGGTAGTTATTGAAATCTGAATGAAACTTATAAATATAATATCGAAATCCAAAAATTCGAATCAACAAACCGAATTATATCAACACCCATGCCTACTCGTGACCATGGCTGCTGCTGCCAGTGACATCGAGAAATGTATAACTAAATTATCAATGTTTT